CCTGCCCAGTGCCGAGCCGGAGCCCGGCAGGTCTGACTTTCACACTGAGGGCTTTCCCCGGCTTCACGCACAGGCACGCGCAGGCGGGATTTGTGCGGGCAGGGCAGCGGAGGTTGGTAAAGAGCCTCTGTGAACTCCCCAAGGTCAGGCAGGAAAGACAGCCTCCACTAATCCAAGGTCATTTCCTGGGCTAAAAGCAATAAAATGTTTTATTGATAAACTGAAGAGGGGAAAATACACACACTAAATCCACTCTCACACGTCGCGGGCCGTGCCCAGGCTGTTGCTGCCTCTGCCCTGGCCCTGCCTGGGGTGCTGCAGGAATTGTCCTGCCGGAGGGGAGACGTGTCCTGGCTGAGCGTTTGGCTGCCTTCCCCGGCTCCCCCCGGCGCGCGCCGGGACACCGCGCAGGGGAAGCACGCGGTACTAGCGCCCCGGCAGCCTTCTCGGTGAAGGTCTGGCTCTGTCTCGGGGGAGGCAGCTCAAGCGCGAAGAGGATCCAGCGGGCAGCACCCTCGCCCCCAACCAGCCAGCCTCGCTGCCCTCCCTGTTTGCAGCTCCTCGGCAAACTGGAGCGTCTCCAGGCAAGCTTGCACCACAGCGGTTAAAAAAGAAAAGGACTATGCAGCCTACAGGTCCTCCTTTCCTCCCCCTCCCCGCCCCAAATAATGCCGTTAATAATTAATTGAATGAGAGCTTGCAGCTCCTGGAAAGCTGGCGCTGGGACCTCCCTCCTGAACAGAGCTGCTCAGCTGGGCTTAAAACTCTTCAATAAGGATATGAAAGCTCCATCTGTTCGACGTACCCGGCCCTCTGAAGTGGCAGCGCACAGCCCCTCCCCAGCCAGCACCCTCTCGCCACGCCCCCGCCGGGCTCACTCTGCACCCGTAAGCTCCTAGCACCCAGCCGGGGCCCGGCTCACCCCTCCACGCCAGCTGGCCGGTCCTGCCCCTGCAGCCCAGCCCGCAGGCACCCCTTTCTCACAGCCAGATCCTTCCTCCTCACCACCAGGGTGCAGTTCTTCATCTGCTCCATCCCAAAGGCAGCATTTTGCTCACTGCTTCTTTGCTCCTTCCTCCCAAAGCCGGACTATCCCTTTGCAGCGCAGCGTTTCTCCCCGCGGCTGGGATGCCCCGTTTCTGTCTGCCCTGCCAATGCCCCTGCTTCTCAAGCGCCTTCCTTGCACGCGGCGTGGCCCCAACCCCTGCG